TATACCTCTAACAGATCAATCCCCTTGTGATTGAAATGTCTTCGTTGCTCTTGAGGGTCTGGGATCCCAAATCTCTTTCCCCAATACACATGCATTTCACGAAAAATCTCATTGGGCACAATCTCCTCCTTCATCAACAAATCGTGAAAATACTGTGGGTCCAAGACAGTTTGGTTTCGTGGTTGCTGTACATGTTCTTTGCCAAGGGTATCATGCAGTTGGACTCGCTGGTGGCTTCCTAAGGTCAGACACTCTGCCTGGCTCTCAGTGGGCAGACCTACTGGTCGGTCGGGTTGAGATGGTTGGTGACAAACTCCAGCTGTTGCGCGATCTGGTTGAGCGCTCCCTCGATCTGACTGATCCGCCTCGCGGATCATCTCCCAATGGCTGCTCTTCTGACTTGGCGAAGGTGACGAACTGGGTGTTCGATCCTGCCATTCTCGAGGAGACGTCATGATCGGTCGACGACTCTTGGGTTGATTCTTGGGCTGAGTCTCTGGAGTCTTCTCTTCGGCCAGTTGCTGTTCGAGTCGATCGGTGTACAGGCTGACATAGTGGATGAACTTTCGGTGAGGCCCCTTTGTGGAGTTCTTGTAGGTCGATGTGAACAATGCCGTATAGCGAGGCTGAGGGTCCTCCTGTACGACCTTCAGGTATGTCTGGCCCTTCTTCTCCTTGCCGAAGTCGATCTTGTGGTGGTCCAGTTCTTCGACATTCAGGTGGAGAAACGCTTGTTCCTCGTGTTGTTCCGCACTCTGGCGAGTCACCTGCTGGAATCGTAGGCTGACATCGGAGGATTCGCTGGCCATGGCTTGGAATCGACGACACTGTGCGCGGGACCTGTTGGATCACTCTCGAACCCGCGCTCGACGTCACTGTGGATTCGGCTGGCTCAAACGGACAAGCTGGCTCATTCGGTGCTTCGATGGTGTCCCCTGCGTGAGAGCACTTTGGAAATGATCGAAGCGGACGAGTCATTTTATCACATTTGTGGTTCGTATCGGCTTTCGATTCTTGATGCATGCTGAGCAAAACATTCTCGGAGTTGACTCCTGCAGCGTTTGGCTTTTTCGCACAGGCTCTGGACACAAGTCGGCAGAAGTCCAGGAGAAAGAGCTTCCTTTCGGTCAACGAAAGTGGCATCGATATGCCCAGCTTGGCAAAATGAATTGTGGCGTGTTCGGTATCGATCACAGCTCCCAGCTTCCGAAACACATTGAATAGAAATCAAGAACGGTGTTTGGGATGGCACTACGCAGATCTTGACATACCAATCAGCTAGTGGTACTAGATAGGCATAGGAGCATGTAACTGTGCTGTTATTACCGAACCGAAAAACTGTGTGACAAGAAACTTTGCGGCTTCGCTTCATGGCATTGGGTGGCAGTTCCATCAAAAGCTGTTGGATTTGAGCTTCTCCTATGACAGTCTGACTTGCACCTAAGTCTACTATGCCACATGGTCCATGATGAGCGAACAAAACCTCATGTGCCATGGAGGGGCTCTGGTTGGCCCGGCACTGATCGAGGTCATGGCTTTCTATCGTCAGGGGGCTTATCTTGGATCGTTCACGAGGCAGCGAACTGCGAAGGCTCTGAATCAGCCTTTGTGCTTGTTGTCGGAGTGGCTTCATGTCCATGTTCAGGGAAACCCCGGCACTCATTCTATCCCCAAAATTCCCCTTTGAGGTTTGAGTGTCAACACAAAAAACTGTCTGAACAATAGGACAGGTGGCCATTTTCGAGACATCAGCTTCAGAGATCAAAATCATGTCATCGGCCTCAGTGTCACCACCCTCGGTCTCGATCATCACATTGCCTGCAAAGGCGGTCGGTGCTGGAGTGGTTTTGGCTTCAACTTCAAATCTCTTGGGGCACTCAGCCTTCCAGTGACCTCGTTGGCCACAGCGGCGGCATTCACTTTCCAAGATCCTCTGAGCCAGTGGCTTGCGGAAGCCTTTGCCCTTGGTGAAAGTGGGGCTGAACTTCCCTTTTGGCTTGGGTTTGCCACCAGGAGCGCCCTTGATGGGCCAGGAGCCTCTGTTCTTTCCCTTTTCAATGATCCTTCGACGAGCCTCCAAGTACGTGTGGTAGCAGGAAGCGGTGTCAGGATCGCTTTGCAACACGTCGATGAGGCTATCTTCGAATTGGCTCACGATCAAAGCATCCTGATCGTTCTCATCCTGGGCCAGGAAAGTGGCCTCAGAGTTCCAATCGTCCCAGGCTTCATGGTTGAACGCTTCATCCTCATGAGGTGCTGTTGTATGATCATCTTCATCGACCGTGTTGACCGTCTCATAGGTCTTGGTGCGGGTCGAAGTCTTGGCATTTTGCAGCTCACTAAAGAGCTTGGAACCGAGGAGCTTGAGCGAACTCACGACCTTGTCGTATTCGAGGCGGCCTTCCGAGTCCATGATGACTTTCTTCTTTTCCTCCATCAGAAGACCTGAATTCCTCAGGAGGCAGTAGGCTCTCATTTCCTCCAGGGTCACATGGAGGTTGGCCAACTCTTCGAACTGAAAGTCATGGCGAGCCAAATAGGACTCATGAGTTTCATCGCTTCTTTGGACCGTCGTGTAGATGGCCCGTTCAAAGCGCTCAAACTTTTCCTCATGCTTTGCCTTGCCCCATACTCCACCCAATGTGGACACTAGGAGCTTGATGCCCTCCAGTGAATTCACCTTGAGCTCCTTGGCATCCAAGCGCGTCAGGCGCTTGAAAGCACTTCCTTCACACAGCATGGCGGCTCTTGGAGCCAAGTGGGATAGGTGGTCGCTCGGCCACAAATCAGCTATGAACTCCAGTCGCTTCGTGTAATCATTGATATCCGTTTCACCTGGGCGAAAAACTGGGATCATCTGCCATGGTAGGTGTGACAGGGAAGAAGAGGACAGTTGTCCACTCGAGGATGGTGCTCCATCTCCTTCAGGCATCCTGGATCTGCGATTTCCACTGAGCAGCTGGCAGGTACAAAAGCTATGGTCAACTCAGTGATCGCTGGTAGCTCCGCTACCAATGTGGATCGGGGGTTTCCCAATCACACACTGGTAGCCACTGGCCTTCTCAGGCCTCCACAACAAAGCTGCGCGCCCTGGCGCTTCTTTTCCACCTGGCCTCAGGTCCAAGCACGATCTCCTGATCGAAGTGGGGCGTCCTCGCCCAACCATGCACCGCCGGATGCAACCTAAGCCCCCCTGACTTGTAGCCAAAGGTGATGGCGGTTCGAACGACGTGCTGAACAGGCTTCAGGGGACATGTCACACTCTGCAAATCACAAGCATTGTACTTATATATATATATATGTATATTATAGAGCACCTTTTCATTCTCTTTGTATTCCCTCCACCGCCAGGCAGCTGTCTACCAAAGGGAGTACTGCGTCGCCATTGACCCAGGTATACCATTTCGCTGGAAATCCTTGAGCCCGGAAGAAAGCAACTTATTGTGCTTGGGCAAAGTGGTGACCAGTGGCGAACCTTTTGGGGCGTGCCTGAAATCGTGCCGTGCTGTTGGCGCATTTTTGGGCTGTGTCGCGTTCCAGAAGCGCTGTAGCTTGCAGTGTGTTTTTGTGTTTTGCGACAAATGTGGTCCCACCATGCTGCATGCAAAAAGCAAACAACAGCGCGAACAGCGGTGGGTCTGAAGGCCGGGTTACGGAAACCATTGCAAGTATCAGTGCGTAAGCGGCAAAAGTCAACCGTTTGAAACGGAAACGTTGCCATCTGGCAGGGGTGCCAGTGGCAGACTGAAGAGCTACGGTTCTTAGAACATGACTTTACTAGAAGTTCATAGAAGCTCCGCAGATCTTGTTGGTCTTTCTCAAGGTTATGCACTACCACTATCCTGCATCGCCGTTATAATTGCTGATGGCAGCCAAACATGGTTTTAATTACGAGTATCCGGAAGAAAGAACTTTGCTTCAGTTCAAAGACAAGGACACGCTAAACCTTGCCTCTTGAAGACAAACACGACTTAACCAAAAGAATCATGACTGCATTTGCTGTAGATAAATGCAGCAACCCTACAACCGAATTCAATTTCCAACTTGTAGAGCTGTACCCGAAGCACGAGTCACGAGGGGTCAGGAACATCTGCTTGGATTAACACAGGGCATTGCATGCTCTGAGTGACTCTAGGTGCAAGGGCCTACCGCCCCATGTTCCTAATCTTCCTTTCCCTTCCCACGGTCCATCATGGACTCTGCAGAATGCTCTGCCCGAAGAGCCTTACACAATCTGATCATGGGACTTCCAACAGCAACAGCTCACAGCTTCGCTTGTGCTTATTCTCCCTTCTGGCAGAGTAGTGCTGTATATATTATATATATACATACACGCAATACAAGATAGTGCAAGCCTTTGTTGGAGAGTTTTCCAAAACCCTAACAAGGTGCGGCCAAAATTTTCCAGGGTGCTTGTGATCGGAGCGACTGGTTTGAGTCTGCCATGTGATTGCGCACTTGGTTTACCCACAAATGTTTTTTGTTGAAGTTTCTAGTGACTCTAGTGGGGCACAACAAAAGTCCAAAATGTGCACCTGGAATCGGGAAGCAGAATCCTTTTGTCTTGACGCCTAGGTCTTATCATCGGGGCCCGTAACCACACCCAGCGTACCACATAGGCTCGGTGAATAGGCACTGCAAGATACTGCAAGTAGTTAGCAAAGAACCAAGCTTGGGAGTAAAGTGACACATCCCCACAAGTAAAGAAACGTCAAAACAGCAACTTCAGTAGAAAAACACAGGTGATAGCTGCACAGGAGAAGCATAGTACATAGAACACATTGACCCCGTAGGCTGTAAAATCTTGTGGCAAAAACTACTGCACAGGCTTGATGGACTTCAATATCTGAATCCTCATATAAATATTCTATCAAACACATGGTGCGGCTGAGCGTAGCACCCGAGGCTGTACATCCTCACAGAATGAATCAACAGCCTGCAACATCCTGTTGCTCAAAAACTGCGTCAAAAGTGCAGTTGGATGCAGCTGCAATCGTGTCCTCATCCAGCAATTCGTTCATCTGCCGAAACTTTTCATTAGCCATGCGCAGCAAGACATCGAAGCTTCTAGGCTCCTTCCAGCACCTTAAGCAAATGCAAATTGTACACGAAGCTTTCTTTGTAAATGATCCAAATGGAAAGTTTTGACTGCTTTGTGCTTCACTGGGGGCTCTGCTGGCTGTGACTCTTTGCTGCTTGCTGCGGCGACCTATCATCGATGATTTGTAAATGGCAGCTTTCTGTGGCCCTTGACCGACAAACAGAAACACAACCGTACCGCCTTGGTACTGCGTCGCATGCCTTTGGTGTACTTAGGTACATGCCTCGGTGTGACCGCATCAAGTTCAGATTATCCCGACATCCACGAGTCATGCAAGAAGGGCTTCTAAGTTGTAGCCATGGTAGCTTTCCCAGCAAGTTATATTCGAGGGCAGTGAGGCCAGCAACAGCAAAAAAGGCACTTGTTGGACTGAGGGTGCGGCTGTGGCTTCGCACTCGCGAGGATTTTCTGCCTCGCACGTCTACTTGGAGGTGGGCTTCGGAAGTCATGTTTACTACCTACAGTAGGAGCCACTTCACTGCTTTCCACTGCCTTCGAAGGTTGAGAGTTCACAGTCTGAAACTGTGCTGAGCTTGATGCCATCGCATTGGCGCTGCGCTGCCAGCTGAGAGCCTCGAATGTCCAGGCAGACCGCGGATGAAGCCCGGGAGAAGGATGCCATGTGTCTGCGCAGTTGTGGAATGATTTGAGGTCAATGGATTAGGGGACGTCATCTGCATGCAAAGAGCTACAAAGGATACTTTCGCACCCCTCCGCGGAAGCTCTTCACAATACTCCACAAACTGTTCTCTTTCTTTTTTTTTTCTCTCTCTCTCTCTCTCTTCCCCTCCCTCCTCTTTTTGCCCTGCTGGAACCCCTCTGCCATTCTCCGTGCTCAAACCACTTCAACCAAGCAGCTGTAAGGCGATGGGCAATGCTGAGATGGGCAAACAGGAAAGCTTCGCACGCCCAGGAATGGCCTTACTCGCACGCTTTGTGGCCTCTCTCTCTCTCTCTCCCCCTCTCCATCGGACACCCATACAATGAGATACAACCTTCTTCGGTACCAAACTTTGAGTCTGAGTGGTCCTGAGAGGTCTAGCTGCTTAGTGCGCTGCGCACGACTTGCAATGCCTTTGCTGCCACCTCTAAGGAGCCAGAAAGCACAAATGTTGCCAAGAACATGTTCCAAAACCCGTCCATGAAAGGGGCTGAAGCCAAGAGTCAAGCAACCATGAAGACAAGCAGTTATATAACACAACCATTGTGGTGGGATGCATTCAACTACTCGGAAGTGCGACAAATGCCGACAGGCCTCGGGTTCGTTGAAGTTGCTCCTGGCCAGGATTATGGTATCGACATGTATCGACCAAAACTCTTTGAGTAGGATTTCCACCGCTCGTGAGGCAAGTCACAGAATGGGAAGTGTTTATGCAGCTTCTTGCGCAGCAAAATGCCTCAACCTCCAGCCAGACGGAGCCCCGGTTGCGGACCTCGCCTATGGGCTGAGGTTTGAAAAAGGACCAAGAGTTCAAGGGGTAGAAGTGAATGGCTTTGACAGTCTAATTGCTTAGTTGGCAAAATGCTTGCTTGCCTAATTGAGGATAGCTCAGGACAACTTTTACATGGCTATGCTTGAGCACATTTCATCTTCCTCTACTTGCATACTTCATTGATTCATGCCGACTCCAATCGATTCCACGATCATTTCATTTTGATTCTCGACTTCTCCAACTTGTCAAGCCTGCTCGTGCAGCTCCCACAAAGATAAGCCCACAAGACCTGACAAATAATGCTCGTTGACACAACCCTTTCGGAGAGGAATTCGGTACAAGCCCGATTGCCAAAACATGCCAAGCATCGCGAGACCATTACCGAACGCTCCTTGACAGCAAAGGAACATGATTTCGTCAGACGTTCTTCCGTGGCTCTTCTGGATTCTCGGTTTTCCCAATTCTGCAATGCTTCCACCGGAATGCTCTCCAGGGACATCCGGCGACTGGCCGTGAAACTTGAGGTGCTGGTGCCCAAAGACTCCTGTGATGAGTTGAGTAAAACAAGAAGACAACGCATCACGGTATCACGTTTGCAAACAACGTGCAATGAAATCGAGCTCAGTGAGACACTGTGAGGAAAGCTAGACAAGCTTGAAGAGTGGAGATATGTGGAGATACGGTCTGTAGGTAGACTATCAGGCGAATTCAATATGGAATAGGGAATGGTAAGGGCACAGCAGCTTTTGCTGCCAATTGCAAAGGTGCTGTGCCCTCCGCTCCTTGGATTCTCTGCGGTCTGCAACCTGAGACCAAACTGAACTAGAGAGGAATAACTAAAGACACTACAATACCTCACACTGTGCACAGTAATCTTCTCATCCTCCGCGAACAAAACAATCATAGTTATAGCTTATACTAAGTATAGAATAAATAATACAACAAATCCAAAAATCACATTTCAAATCGCTGGCAAATACTGTCAAGTACTGATAAGGTACCAGTGACACACACGCACACACCACAGCTGTCGAACATGTTTCAAGTGACTTCCAAGCATGCGAATACTCATTAAATCGAGAAACAAAGAGACTAGCAAACAAAGATACATATTTGCACATGTTAGCAACCATGTTCCTTCATTGATCCTCCAAAGCCGCATGTCCAAATGCCTCGAACTGTTCTATGCTCCCCTTCCTGCGGCCACAAAGACATTCCCACAAACACTTTACTCAAGAAAGCAACCCAATCGATCCAAACATACCAGAACCTCACACCACCCTTACCCACTCTTTGCTGCGATTACTAACCTCCAAGTTTGTCAAACGCTTTTTGTGTCTTCAGATTTTTTAGGAATACAACTGAATAAAGCGTGCCTCCCTGCAAACATCTGCACCGTGTGCTTATTATATGCGAACGCAATGACCGAGTGCAATCAGAAAACAATCGATAAACAACTTCTTCATAGCTTTGGCGCCTCGATTCCGGCATCCGCTTGGACGCAAAGAAAAGGTGCAATCGCCTGGACTGCATCCAATATGTGTCTTTTGAACTCCTTGCATTAGCAGTGCTTACATTGACCTTCTTCACCACATCAGTTCTTCAGTGTCACCAAAGGCTCAAACAGCTCCATAGCCGTTGGCCGGTCACATGGATCCACGAAAAGGCACTGCCTTCAAACAAAAAATCACACACACACATGAATTGTGGTCCGGTTCTTTTGCCTTATCAAGTTGCCAGCCAGTGGAGACATCATGCTCCAGTCAATGTGAGGAAGCTTGCCTTCACTCATCGACGGCACTTACACTTCAAAAGGTTTTTGTCAAACTAACTCTTCATGGTAATGTATATGACGACCATATACAGCGTCAGAACCGATGCCTGAGAGCAGTGTATCAGCGACCTCACCAGAAGTGAGAAATAGCGTGCCACAAGTTGGTACAAATCATTCGACAAACATCTTGGTCAAATCGACCGGCATGTAGATATGTGTGCAGATTGCGAAGATTCTCTTCTCTTCCCTTCGACGGCATGGACTCTTCTCCGCCTTCTGATCACCAATGTTAAAGGGCACAGTCTTTCGGAGCATGAAGTAGAGGCATAACCTTTGCTACGTGGGGAGAAAATAATAACAAATTACAATAGAGTGGGGGCATAGAGAGGATCACTGTGCTTCAACTCCGCTTCTTCTTACCTACGACAAGGCTACGTCCACAAAGGGCCATCCACATCAAAGGTAAGCCTCAAGCCCACTGGCCCAAATGTCAATGCGTTCATTCCAAAGTCGGCCGAACCTTAGGGGGCAAATTCAAACATGATTGTCACATGGAAAAGCGGAGTAGACATGAGTAGAACTTGAACTGTGTATCTTGAAGAGGGTTTGGCAAGGATCCTGCCTGAGTTCCGGTGCATTGTAGAGCTGCCTGAGTGGATTCTATTAGATGCCGTGTAGATTGCAGTAGATGAGCATTCAAAAGGGCACAATGCGCAGGATGCTCGGACTGCAATCCTAAAGGCCACACGTGCCACGGTCGGTGAGAAGCAATCCTCAAAGGACTCCCAGGGCAGCTTTGAATGGATGTGAAAGGGTCGCTATGTAGAACACACTTGACATATCTGCTTACACTTAGTCACTAAGAATCTTGCCATTGCAGGCTCCCACTCTTTTGGCACTGTTGAAGTCTGTGATCTTCAGCTGCCAGGGCCACAGCAGTTCTCCTCGCAAGAAGAGGACAATGGAGGGCCATGCCAAGGCGCCACTGCAGCAGAGCCATCGTTGAAGAATTTTCGCGCCTTCCAATGGCCTATGAGCTGGAGATGGCGCCGTGGAAGAAACCTGCCTGAGAAGCGAGTCAACACACAAACGAAGTCTATTGTCATTTGCATAACGCCTGTGCAAATCTGGCAAATGCATGGATCATTAGATCACTTTGTTGTCAAAACGAGATACAAAGAGAGGCTCTAAGGCAAGACCCAAGGAACCCGAACCAACTTTGCGCCGAGCACACAACTAATTATCCGAATCTACTCCCGAAACTCAAGAATCTTCTTGTTTCAGAACATCGAATAAATACTAAAACATATCCCCGCTCTTGGCTCTTGGAATCTGATTATGCGCAAAAAAAAACCCAAAAAACCGTTGCGTCCCGACAGAACAACGAATCATTACGCATCTTTGCGCCGCTTTGCGCGCCGCTTTCGCACCGATTCAAAAGCAAATTCGCAGGCTTCAAGTCGCGGTGCACGACCTGCGGTCACAAACAGCATATGGTGCACAAAGGCAGCATGCAGCACTTGGTTGCTCTAAAGCGCCCTTAGCCTTGTTCTTTGTGCTGTAGTCACTAAGAGTCACGCAGCAAACACTATGACACAACCGTTTGGCCGTTTTGCCCTGAGCTGGCTGCTCTCTTGTGGTGCAAATAATCGATCCCACGAATAAGTTGAAAGCCAAGGTCTTGCACCTAAAACTGTTGCCATTCTTGCAAACACGACAAGCCACAAATCACAAACCTCGCAGAGATTAATGTTATCTGCGCCTTTGCTTTTTCATGGCTGGCCCTCTTTCTTGACATTGTATAAACCATAACATCTAATCCTCACATGCCACATTCTTCTTAAGGCTAATCCGAGGCTGTTTCTTGCGGCTCTCGAAGTGCACCCTGGCGATCAGCACTGAGACATGTATCTATATATATATATAACATAAATGCTTCACTACTGCACCATATAAATCTGGTTTGAAAATTGTCTGCACGGTTTCAATGCCTCACGTCGCACAAAGGATTCCACTGAACCGCCGCTGCAAAGGTCCATAACAATCCAGGCGGATACGGGACCTCGCAACATTAAAACTTCGAGGCATACTCATTGAGATCTTGCACGACACATATGTTGCAACTGAAAATGAATCAATAAATCTTTTAACTAGACTCTTCAATCTCGTCTCAATTTTTTGAAGCATTCTCAGCACGTGTTCAGCATTTCAATGGTTCTGTGCCTTCAAACCAGGCTCTGAAGGTAATGATTGCTGGATGCCTTGTATCAAGAACTCACAACTTCTCAGAGCTGCATGCATCTGGACACACAAACTGGATGCATTATGTTTCATTCATTTCATTGCGCAAACGGCATTTTTTTCATTCAACGTGTAACTTTCCGGGCGCATCGCCGCAAAGTCCGGACAAGCTCATACCTTCGATTTCAGAACTGCATTTCACCAAATTCAATTTCCCACATTTGAATCCTGCTGTATGTTGGTGTTGAACTTGGTTTCAGTCTGTGCCCTGTTGGTGTCCATGAGGTCTCTGGCAATACTTATAACACTGACCGACCTGTTTTGGCCGAGAGATTGGAACCCCTTCGGGCCTTATTTGGTTTCAAACACAAAAACGATTACAACTACACTTGTGCAATACAAAGTTCGGAACTATTCCTGTGCTGCACGAGATACACTTCAGGTGAAGTCTTGGTTCGTTGTCAGCAACCAACACGCAATGTGCAGTAGCGGAAGAGCTCACATGACTATTTGCCAACATCAGCCGACAACTATGCTGAGCACGGTTAAGGCAATGTTGCACGGCTGCTATGCTACTGACTGGCGTGGGATTCCAAGTCCATGGGGGTCAGAAGAAACAGCCATTGGAGTTTGTGCTGGTGATTCTGATTATGCTGAAGGGAAGTTGCAAGTGGTCTTTTTCCACAAACGCTTGGGCCACTATCAGCGGCCATGTTCAGTCTCACCTGTGCTCATGAAGTCTCGTGTCATGAGGTCTCGTGAGGTGTGCAAAAGCTCTAACACCACACCTTCGTCAAAAGGACATTTTCGCCCCAATTCAGCTCCCATTGGCCTGAAAGCACCATAGTCGCGAAGTTCGCGAAATCTTTCTGCTCACTTGCTCCCCAATGCAGCGCATGAGCTGCTCTTGTGTCTCGTCCACCATGAAGCTGTGCAATCCGGGCTTGTAGGAACTCTTTGAGGTAAGCCAGCTGGACAAATGCCAGCTTCATTGACTTTGCGTCGACGTCTCTCTTCATCAGGTGGCAGGTGCTTGAAGATCGTCTCCAAGTCATCCCAACCTGCATCGGCTGGTGGTTATTTTTGTTGCGGTCGGCCCAAACTCCCCCAGCTTGATCTTGTGGAGGTTCATTGTCCACTTCCATCTCCTAGCTCTCATTGGTCTCTATGTTCTTCACTTCCAGCTTCTGGCTCTGACCTCGCAGGCTTATCTCCTGTAGAAGCCAGCTTGAGAACTTCCCAGTGAAATACTCTTCTCCACTCTCTGCATCCCCTGACCCAACTAAAACTCTATATTCTCTCATCCGTTGTAGCTCTGGCTCCCAATCTGTCGTCCAGTCACCAATCCATTCATAGTCGGCATCGTTTGCCATGTTTTCACGTCGGGCATTTTCTCCTTCATTTTGAAGTTGCGGTTCCAATTGTCGATCTGGTACTGCAGGTCTGAGAGGTTGGTCAGGGAAGAGAGCGCGTCCTTCATATCGCCATTCCCCACCTGGAGCTGACCACATCTGAGCTCGAAGCAGTAGATCTCGTCCACTACGTCGGTCACGAACTTCTTGTTCTCGAGCTTCCTGAAGAATGCCTTCTCTGAACATATGTTCACTCTGCTGTCTATGGAATTCCATGGTGATCTCTTGCCGGAAAAAGCGCGTAGCAGTGCGAACCAAAATGCACAACCTGATGCGGTACCTGTAGCCAATGTACATGCCAAAGAGGAACGCAACCATGTTATAGAGGAAGAACCGCTGAAGATACCAAAGGTAGTCACCGAAACCAAGCTGCTTCTCATCCTCCATGGTGTAGTTTCCATCTCGTACTCCAAGAACTGCTCGTATATTGGTTGGAATCTTCACCTTGTGCTCATTGTGTTCTGCTCATCCATCAGGCTGTTGACCATCTCGTTCTTCACGGTCTTCTTCCTTCTTGCCATCAACTTCTTGGTCATCACCTCATTGAAAGCATCTTCGCCCAAAGGAGTGAAAGTGTCATCACTCCCTTCTGCCTGTAGTTCCACCACACCAATCAGGTACACGAGGAACTCCGGCGTTGCCTTGTGAGCTTCTTTGTGCCCAAAGCCTGACGCGTTCCAAAGAGCTGGAACGCCATCCATTGTCAGAACGTCCTTCTTCACTTCAAGCTGCGTCCAAAGATAGCTCTCCTAGTAGACCAACTTCGCTTGGTGGTTGTGGAGCAGCCTGAGTGGTGGCGAGAAGAAGAAAAGGCTGCAGATTTTCCTGGACAACGTCGATATTGGACATTAGCAAAGCGCCTACCAGGACAACGTGACGCAGCAGCTTGCTGGTTTGATTTCTTGAGCCATCGCCTTCGAGATATTGGCATCCAGAACCATATGAGCCTACCTTCACTCCCGCGCAAGACTAAAAAGCTTGGTGATGCTTGGTGCAGTATGTCACGTCGACTTGATTGTGGCTGGACAGTTGGCAGATTTGGAATGGTTGCTAGAAGTGATGAAGAAGAGATTTGTCTTGAGTGAGTCAGGTATTCTTCCTCAAGCAGGACAAACACTTTTTCGCGAAGGACGGATTGGCGATCATGCCACATGAACGATATGTTCCAGGACTTCTTGAGCTGTACCACCTTGCCAACAAGGCTGGCAAAGCAACACCAGAGAGCGCACAAGTCGACTTGGAAGGTGGCCCAGAAGACAAGCTTGAAGCTGCAGACCAACGTCGATTTCGATCAGCTTCGGGCACACTCCTATGCCTTTCCCAGGGCAGGATTGACATTCAGCACTGTGTGCGCAATTTGTTCCAGTTCATGGCACTGCCAACGAAGAAGGCAGAGATTGAGCTCACGCGCGTGATTTCTTATCTGAAGAGGACTGAGAACTATGGCCTGCTGCTACCCTATCAGAAGAATAAGAGCAAGAAGGCAGAGATTCTCGGCCAGCAGGACGAAGAGATGGACTGTGACCTCTTGGAGAGCTTCGCAGACAGCAACTGGGGTGGTGACGTCCAGTGAGAAGAAGCGACGGCATCCTGCGCAAAGACGTCTAACAGTTCCTTAGCAAGCGAGAGCTGAAGATCTGCTTCATTACAGACAGTACTTCACGCAGAGACGCATCCTTTACGTCCAGGAAACATAGATGCCATCCAAGAAGTACATGGGTCCCTAGCGCCAGCCCGGTTGCCATCAAGGAAGACGATTGAATTCGAATTCGCACGCCGCAAGCCAACACCTCCTCTTCCATTTGCCATCTCTGACCCGCCAGTCGCAGACAGATCTCGTTGTCAGGATCTGGCCTTGCTCAGCTTCCTGCTGGGTTGGCTTCCTGATCGCTCCCATGTCCAGGAGTCTGCTGATCTCTTCTTGTCCTGCAGCGGCTTCAATCTCTTTCATCGTCTCTGGATCCACTTGTGGAGGTTGCCCTTCATCTGTTGCATCGGGCCCCACCATTGTCCAAGCCATCTTGGGCTCGTCTGTCATGAACTCTTCCACCTCAGTCCCCCAGTGTTCTTCATTGACAGGATAGACGTCTCCTGGAGCCTGGTTCACATTTCCTGCGTAGTGCGGGGCATGCAAATGAGTTGGACTACCCTCAGGACTTGTCACTCTTGGGATCTTTGCGACTGGTTCACTCTGCGCGCTGTCGCTTGGGATCTTTTTGGGGCGGCATCACTCTGTGCACTGTCGTCCAGCATTTTCTGTGGTCTGCTCGAAATCGAAGGATTTCTCAGCTCTGGAGTCATTGGAGCTTTGTTTCCATGTGTGTCCTCATCGCCCATGCCCATAGGTAGAGGAGGTACTGGAAGGAATTTGGTTGCAGGCTCATCTTTGTCCCTCTGGAGCCTTTCTCTCTCAAAAGTGTCTGTAGGGGTCCCACCAGGATGATCTCGCGCGTACTCCAAAGTCTCCACGAACTGGTCCAGGTCCCCGACCAGGTCCTCGTGGAATCACTTGGTAGTAGGAGTCGAAGAGGTCGTCTGGTGTTTGGGTTTCTGTAAGGCTTCTCCTTCACCATACTTGACAAGCACACTGATCTCCATGGTTGTCCTGTGCGTCTCACAGCTTTACCGCGAACCAAAACTGAGGAAGCCGCCGCCGTGTGAAGGTCGTCTTCTTCGGTCTTCCCAACCCAAATGCCTGGGATCCATTGAAGTCCTTGTTTCAAGCCAGGCGGCCTATTCAAGACCATCACACACACTCGCCAAAGCACACCACTGCGCCATAGCGTACTGCAATTTGCAGGTGAGGCGCTATGTCATGGAGAACGAGCAGGAGAAACCAAACTTTCCATGTGGTGAAGATGTCCCAGGAGAAGACGCTGATTGTCTTGGACTCCGAATTCTTGCGAAGGAGATGGCAAGTCGAGGACAATGTCAAGTTGGCGGCAAGGCAATCTTCTTAGAAGATGCTCGAGGAGCTCAGGCGAAGACATCTGGTCGAAAATTGGCCCAGGTGGAATGCGACTTGGGCATGGCTGGATCTGTCATCATCGAAGATGATTTCATAGTTGCCTCTGTTCATGCACCATTGGTGAGCCGCTCTACTTCAAGAAGAACAGCCTGAGCCAAGGACTTGAAGAGGTGAAAGGAGAGGTCGACGTGACCATGACCCCAGCAGATGACAATGATTAGTGGTGATGACTGTGGTGAAGCTCAACGACTCCCTCTGGGAATTCTATGGCTTGAGAACAATGGCCGAGGGACATCCCATCAAGTTCAAGTATCACAGCAAGAACTTTAGAATGCCCAGTTGACGTGGAACTTGCGTTGGCGGCCTTTGAGATCAACCCTCATTCAACGACACGATGGAGATTGGGAGCTTGTGGAGCACTGCAGCCGTTACTACACCCTTCCAAATCCAGAAGCAGAAACCCCTGAATGCGCTGGCGGGGAAACTCAGGTGTTGACCATTTTGCATCGCAAATGTGAACCAGTGCAATGCTTTGGGACCATTGTTGGCGAACGCACTGCAACAGGAGGAGGCGCCAGTGTGGAGAGCAGTGACTGTCTTATCGAGTCAGAACCCCAAGTTCCTGCTGGACTTCAACCTCAGAACCAATTGACAGAAGAGGAATTCCGGGGTGTGATAATAGAGCCAATTTGGCGGTGAACGACATGAGAGAACAGCAGCTTGGCAACTCTCAGAAGTGCTGCAGAATACTTAGGCCTTGGAGCCGGCGGTTCAACTAAGACATTGTGGCACAAACTCAACCAGCTTGAACACCAACAACTCTTCGCTTCAGCAAACAGATTGTATAGGGAGCAGAACAAGCACAAGGGCCTGATCCAGGTTTCCATTCCACGGCGGCCGACTGACTCCACAGGAGCGAGAAATGCATGGTTCACCTACGGTATACCCTACCAACTCTGGTGTGACGCGTGTCTCACGCAAGAGCCGTGCTGGTGCCCAACGCCCCAGCTTGAATATGGTTCTGGTCGATCTGAAGGCAAAACCTCGAGTCAAACAGTTTTGACAGTGGTGCTTTTTGGAGTGGATTGTGAGAGCAGGATGCTCATGGCAATGCCTCTCTCGAGAGCAAGGGAGCAGATCTTCGAGGACAAGCTGAGCAGGTAACAAAATTCTCCCTGGCCATGACCCATTATATATGGCAAGCTTGAGATTGTTTGCGACGGCGATGCGACGATGAAGAGCTTGTTGACCTTGATCAAGACCCTTCGGCAAGGCCTTGGACTGGAAACAGCTCACCTTCAGTCAATAGAAAGGTCAAACGGCTGTGTGGAAAGGGCAATCAATCCAGACTTTAAGGAGGCAAGCTTCGGCTTTGGCGAAGATGGCAGAAGATCGATGGGAGATCGCGCTTTGTGGAGCTCGGCCTATGCGCATGCAACTTGGGCGATCAATCGCTTCAGCAGCCACAGGGCTACACGCATGACAACTTCTGAGCTGGCCTATGGCAGACCATTTGTTGGTCTTGTCCTGGATGAAGTCGTCGAAGTTCTCCCCAATGTCCTTGCTGTCCACAAACGCGACAGGTATTGTTGACGTTGCCGCCTTTGCCTTTGCCTCGGCCACCATACTTGCTCTTTCCTTTCTCGCCTTTGCCCTGCTTGCCTTTGCCTTTGGAGTTCTTGCCACCATACTTGTCGCCGTTGTTGCCAAAAGGGAAACATCCACCTTTCTTGCCTTTGCTGCCTTTCTTGCCGCCTTTGCCCTTGCTTGCCTTTGGAGACTTGGCCAACTTGATCAACTTCCATAGGTGCAGGTCAATTGGAACTTCAGCTCATAGAGTTCTGCGCCATCTTCAAGCAGGAATCTCCGGACCAAGCCTACTAGTCTTGTCCATCAGGATCAACTGTTCCTTCAACGTGTAGTAGTGCATCTTGTCGTCCAAGTCAGCTCCAAATGCTGCCGCACTTTGGGCGCCACACAGCGAATTCAGGCATAGCATGTCCTGAAGCTAGCTGATATCGGTCCAAAAGAAGATGCAGCTGAAGCAAAATTCTCAAGCGTGCTCTTGCCAGACCGGAAGGTCAACCAGTTCGTGAAGCTTTAAATTTCCTTCCAGGCCACATATTTCATGGGGTCTTCGACATCTCGCAGGATCTTGAGCTCTGGCTGCCGTAGTTGCTGCGTCTGCCAAAGTGTTTGCTTGAGAGAGGATTCAGTTCATCTGCTCCTGGTCCATGGCATAGGTGTTGCGCCACAAGGTCATGAAAATCAAGCCGCGCAGCTGCAACTTGTGCTCAAAGCGTCCACGTAGCCCACCATTCCATCTTCTCTTCTGGTAGTAGCCCAAGTGGCCCTTCGCCATAGCTCTTCTCTCGCGAAGTGGTCTTCGCCTGCGCATTCGGCTCATTGTCCATTCAGCTCCGCATCCAACCAGGAAGGCCAAGAAGCATAGAGCTCTCAAACCAATCGTCTCATCCAGCCTGTCCAAAACCTGGTGCAGGTCGTAGTCCTGAAAGAAATCGATGTAGTAGCTTCGAAAGCCCACGGCCATCGCTGCATCTGAAGTCGTGAAGTGCGAGCGCCGATCTCTGACTTGTCGATGTTCACATCGACCACCACTTGAGTCCGGGAGCCAATCCCCGACTCCTGAGAGGTTCGAAGCTAAGTCCATGTCAGGTCCATCGCAATGACCTTTGGTCATGATGAGCGGGATCCGCTGTGCCAAATTTTCAAAGCGGCGCCAATCCACTGCTCAACCTCCTTTCCGTCTGTCACCTCCTTGAGGTCCATGCTGGTGAGGTTCCAATCCCCACCAAAGTCCTTCGCGGTCACCATGTCCACCGTGTCCTTGTAGAAGAGCTCATCCTGGATCTCCTAGTCGTCCATGACGACGCTCGCAGCCGCTATCGTGTGTAGAAAAGTCGTAGCCAGCGTTATCGTCGACATGGCGTCGCGCGGTGCGGCGGAGGTGGTGCATTGATCAGCTCCGCTACCATGTCAGCTTTAGCGCGCAAGTGGTCTTTTTCCACAAACGCTTGGGCCACTATCAACGGCCATGTTCAGTCTCAACTGTGCTCATGAAGTCTCGTGTCATGAGGTCTCGTGAGGTGTGCAAAAGCTCTAACAGAAGTGATGCGCGCGTAGCGGCAGGGCGTGTCAAAGTGTGGAATATGTAATTAGTCGAAGGATGTAGTTTTTTGTAGAATAGACACGACATGATACAATCACATTTGCCCAGCAACGTATATCCTCCTGTGTTTCTTATGTACAGTATTACTGTACATATTGTCTTTCAGCTTTCAACCAAGCCACTCGTCCCGGCTAAATTGTCTTACTTCTTCATCGATTGCAGTCACACATTTCACCTCGGTCAGCCCGAATCATGTTCGCCCCAAGCTGCAAACTACAAAGCAACAAATTTATGTCGTGGGGGGCAGACTGCGAAAATCTGCCCATCCAACTTTCGTACGCACCTATCACCAACCGTGGCGCCAAAAAGTGACAAGAGCAACAAACACATTGGGAGACCTGATTCAATCTCATGTGGCTGCGCCTTCGCACAACTGACATGCTGCCAGAGCCCAAGAACTCGCCTGTCAAGTGCCCCGTTACATCTTGGCCATGTGTGAGTTTCTTTTTTCGTTTCTTCGCGTTCCGATGCTATGTTTTGTGGTCTCATCACACATTTGACGCCTAGCTTGTATGCATCCTGAAAGCTTGGGAGGCTCGATACCTGCGCATGAGGTGAAGCTCGCGCATTGAAACAGCGGTCTCCATGCTCATTGCGATGTCAGTGATAAGCCGCTTCTTTGCTGATTGTCATCTCACCCTCCAGATGGTGTCTAGATTTGTTCAATACATACATACATACAGACGAACGTACAAGCATTCATTCATTCCTTCATTCATTCATTCGTTCGTTCATTCATTCGTTCATTCATTCATTCGTTCATTCATTCATTCATTCATTCGTTCATTCATTCATTCATTCATTCATTCATTGATTCATTCATTCATTCTTTCATTCATTCGCAGATAGCGAGTTAGATAGATGATAGATACATACATTGATACATACGTTGCAGGACATTACTTTACCTTACCTTACCTTACATAACACAACATAACATAACAAACATAACTTAACATTACTCACATACTCACATACATACATACATACGTACATACATTGTATTTTGAGTGAGGCCGCCACGGTGAATAGCAAGGGTCTCGGGAAGAACCAATTAAAGAGTTTTGGCCTGGTGCGCTGCGGCACGATTTCACTACAGCCCAGACTAGAAGAAGTCCACCGCCGTGTCCTCCGTCTCTGAGGCTGTCATGCCTTCAGCGTCAGCTTCTGCGCGCGCGAGGTTCCTCAAGAAACAGCTGGGCGGGTCTCAGCGCGGGATCTTCAGCCTCAGCAGCGGCTGGAGCTGTACTGGTAGCCGGTGGAGGCGAGAAGTAGCTCCGAAGCGCAGCGCTTGCTTTGATTGGAGCTCCAGCGCGCTCCTTTTTGAGGCTCTGTGTTTCCACGGGGCGGCTCTGCCTGCTTGTCGGTGGTCACAGCCAGGCCGCAATACTTGCAGGAGATGTTGGCGCCCACAGACAATGTGTCGCGTGTCCTGCCGGCGGTCCCTCATAGGGCTGATCCAGGCGTGGGCTGCTGATGACCTCGTTGTAGACCTGATTGGAGCGCTATTCTTTCAATGGCCTGCGCGAAAATCTGCTGGTGATCGTCGTCAACGGCCTGCCATTGATCTTTTTCTTGGTCATAGAGCTCGGCTCAGTAGCTCTCTCCCCATCTGCAACGGAGGTGGCTCAGCTGCAGGTTGATCGGGGGTTCAATGGTCTTGGGGCTGTTTCTTGTCATCATCGGTGAGGTCTGCAGCCAAATCCATGAAGCCCAGAGAAGGCTTGCTTGCGTTCCAAGCGTTCCAGACCAAGACCAGCTGCACAACGATAAAGGAAGAACTGCAAGATGTTGCTCCTTGTTGATCCATCCTCTGGCCCAGACTGCCCAATCCAGGCCATTGCAGAGATTTTGCGGCCACGCAGCCTGCTGAGTCTTTGATACGCTGCTTCTTATTGAAGGAGGGCCTCAACCTAGCCTCTGCTCCCCACATGGCAACAGATTGGACGGCTCGTCGATGAAGTCGGAGTTGGTATTGGAGGTTGGGTAGGCGTAGATTCCTGAGCTTGGGCTTTGAGGACTGGTGCAATTGGTGGATCTGCAACGTATGTCTCAGCGACGCGCTCTTGGAGTGAGCGGAACCCCTTCGTCGCCCCTTTTCCAAATTTCCCTTTCACACCGTTTTTCGTGCTGCCTCTGGAGCTTGAGCTGCTCTTGATTTGCCAAAAGTTGCGACCTGCTTTGACTTTCGATTCTCTTGAAGACGTCGACAAGCGTCCTGATAGGGTGAATAGTATGCTGCTAACTCAGGATCATCTTGTTCTTCCTGCGCCAGCTGTTCCAATGCATCTTCTTCCTGAGCGTCTTCGAACGTTGCCCAGCTCGCTTCGCTTCTTCTTGCAGCAGCGAAGTGGGTTTGATCGTAGGTCTTGAGACCTTTCTCCTTTCGACCAGTGGTGACTTCCTGAAAAAAGGATGATCCCAGAAGTCTGATTGCCACCGAGACCTTCTTCATTGTCAACACTCCACCTGTTTCAGCTCCGGAATCGACAAGGACACGTTTCGCTGACAGCTTGCTTCCTCGCAGGATCGCGTGTGCTTGAACTTCCTGGAGCTTCACCTCTCTAGCCTGGAAACTGCAGTCTCGTCGTTCTTTTGAGAGCGCTGGTACAAGGCCTTCTCCACTACCTCATACTTTCTCTCCAAATCAACTTTGGCCAAGTTGGCTCCAGGGTTTTCTGACTGTGAGCACCTCGGACTGTCGAAGTTCCAGTTTGTGGAAAGCGGAAACGTTTGTGTTGAGCAGAATTCTCCAAATCCAAAAACTTTTCTTCAACTTCAGGCCAGGCCTTCACGAGCAAGCAAATCTTCCGTTTCCATCGTTCAACATTGTCTGTTGCAGGACCAAGCACCCGGACCAACTGCGCCAGCTGATTTGTGACCGATGATTCAGTGCTTCCAGACATTTGCCCCACAATCGACCGGGCTCCGGTATCAATATCAAAATTGATATTGGTAGCTTCCCCGCCCTTTAGCTTCAAATCCTCCTCAAAGTTTCCCACAAACTCTTTGGATCTTCCCGACATCCTTGCTATCCACCTTGGCGGCCTCACCAAAAATACAATATGCCTGTCTGCCTGTGTCTGTCTGTCTGTCTGTCTGTATGTATGTATGTATGCGTGTATGTAGTCAATGTTGTGTATGTGTTGTTATGTTATGTTACGTTACGTTTATATTGCTAAGTAGGTAAGTAGGTAAGTAAGTAAGTTAGTGAGTAATTAAGTCAGGAAGTAAGTAAGGAAGTAAGTAAGTAAGGAAGTAAGCAAATAAGCAAGCAAGTAAGTAAGTATGTTAGTATGTATGTATGTTTGTATGTTTGTATGTATGCGAGTAATGGTATGTATGTTACGTTGTGTTACGTTATGTAATGTTATGTAAGGTAATGTAAGGTAATGTAATGCAACGTATGCGTTAACCTGGAGCTTCACCTGCTTCATCTCCAGCTCCGTCCAAGCCACGTCCGCTCTAGCCAGGAAACTGTCTGCAGTCTCGTCATTCTTTTGAGAGTGCTGGTGGTACAAGGCTTCTCCACTACCTCCTCTCCAAATCAACTTTGGCCAAATTGGCCGGCCAAAATCTCCTGCGTTTCTGGATCTCAGCCTTGTCTCCTGTGAGCACCTCGGACTGTCGAAGTTCCAGTTTGTGGAAAGCGGAAACGTTTGTGTTGAGCAGAATTCTTGTCGCCAAATCCAAAAACTTTCCTTCAACTTCAGGCCAGGCCTTCATGAGCAAGCAAATCTTCTGTTTCCATCGTTCAACATCGTCTGCTGCAGGACCAAGCACCGGGCCAAATTGATATTGGTAGCTTCCCCGCCCTTTAGTTTCAAACCGTCTTCAAAGTTTCCCGCCAAAAGGCGAGCAAACGAAAAGAGACCTTTAAGAGAAATACATACATACATGACATAACATTACATTGCATTGCGTTACATTGCATTGCATTACATTGCGTTACACTGCATTACGCTGCATTACATTGCATTACATTGCGTTACATTGCGTTACATTGCATTACATTGTGTTACATTGCGTTACATTGCATTACATTGCGCTACATTGCATTGCATTACATTACACTACATTACATTACATACCGATGGCACACCGCATTGGAAGGAAGTCACAAACCCCAATGGCACAGCGCCGCCAAAGCAACTCTTTACAAACGCGAAGGTTACCCAAAACCTGGCCCATAGTGGGGAGTTTGCTCTTCCTGAGTAGGTTTGTGAGAACGATCCGATGCGATCGGGTCACATTAGGGTAACATCAGGTTCCATTTTACAAGGCGCTTACTCGAGATCTTTTGCGCCGATTGCCGGAAAGTTTGGGTATTGTATCGCGGAAGCAGCAGCAGCAGCAGCAGCCAAGCGAGAGACCGGTGCGAGATCAAAATATAAAAAGTCAGCGTCAAAAACTGTTCAAGAGGGATCAAAAGGAAAAGAAAAGGATCGACTAAATATTCACAGCGAAGAAAACCAGAATGGGGAAAGGACAGTAGTAGTAGTAGTAGTAGTAGTAGTAGTAGTAGTAATAATAACAGTAGTATATAGTAATAGCGCTGGTAGTGGTAGTAGTAGTAATAGTAGTAGTAATAGTAGTAATAGTGGTCGTGGTAGCAGTAGTAGTAGTAGTAGTAGCAGTAGCAGAAGCAGTAGTAGTAGTAGTAGTAGTAGTAGTAACAGTATAGACAGCGCTACCCTTCAAGAAAAACAAAAACAGCGAGCTAGCCCACTGGGAAACTATCTCTCCACTAAGGGGCTACCAACAAAAAAGCGGACTAGAAAAAAAGGCGCTAGGTCTAGGTGCCCACTGGAGCAAAACCGAAGGAGCACGGGAGACGAGCGAAGGACCAGGGGACCAGAGGACCAAAGGGCCATAAGACCTAACAAACAGGGGACCTAATAAGGATTAATATGTTTTAATATTCACCACATGTGTGGGGTCTTTGTGCTGTACCTCCTCTTCCTCCTCCCGTCGCCCCACCAACCAACCACCGTCAACCGCCAACCACCAACCGCCAACCGACCACCGCCAACCACCAACCACCAACAAACCACCACCATCCACCAACCACGAACCACCAACCAACCACCACCAACCGCCAACCGCCACCAACCACCACCACCACCAACCAACCGCCAACCGCCAATCTGCTGGTGGCTTTTGCGCGGCAGGCGCAGGACTTGGCGCCCTGCAAGGGGTCGGATATGCCCGGTCATCCGGATCCTGTTCTTTAATTCTTCCAGCAGCAGCCCAAGCAGCGCACCAGCGCCCAAGCTCCCCCAGCGTGCCCTGCGCTCGAGCGCGCAAACGCGCAGCTCGTCCTACACTGGAACAACAGCGGCACCCTGCAGCGGCACCAGCACTCAGGCTCGAAAACGCACACACGCAGCTCTTCCTACGCTTGAAGTAAGAGCCCCAGTAGCTCGCGCTACCTGGGGAAAAACACAATTTAAGGTTGTTGGATCTATCGCGCAGGCAAGCAACGCATGGGCGCAGCGCACTACATCAGTTCGCAGAACGAATAGAGCAACAACAAACATCCATAGATAAGCCAATCCCCAAGGGCATTTTGATACGACTTTCCTCCAGCTGATACGACTTAAAGCGGGGCCCCAGTACATACATACATACATACATGCGTACATACAGACAGACATACTTACATTACATTACATTACATTGCATTGCATTACATTTCTTTACTTTACGTTACAGACCATAACGTCGCGCAACAGAACATAACATTACATTAATACATTACACCTGTGACATACATACATACATACATACATACCTAGATACATACGTCCTACATACAGACAGACAGACACAAACGCATACACACATACATACATTACGTTACGTTACGTTACGTTACAATACATGACATTGCATTACCCTACGCTACATTACACCGCGTCACATCACATCCATGCGTGCGTGCGCGCGTACGCGCGCGTGGCATCACTTTTCAAAGTCAAAGTACGGCGCGCCTGCTCCTCCAATGTGCTTGGACTTGCAGTGACAGCTTGCGGCTGTTGTGGCGCCTCCTAGTGATGGCGCGGAATAAACTCGAACATGATGGAACATGACAATGAAATCTCGTGGGCGAAGGCAAACAATCAGACTCATAGTTCTGGTGAAGGAACGTAAGTTTCAGTGGTTGTTAGTGACGCAGGATCGCTTGACTGGCTAGCAAACGGCAAGGGTGCTGGGCGCGTCAAACTGTAGGTGACGATGTTATAAACTGCTGCAAAGTCTGGAAATTGTTCCAGTTACAGAAGGGGGCCCAGGAGGAATTGAACGTTGATCGCTGCAGGTGCACACCAGGACCTCTCCCAGCGCATAGCGGCGCGCTCTCGCTCTAAAGAAGAAACAAAGCAGTAGACAGCGTTGGTATTACTTAGGCTCTAGAAATTACCTAAAAACGGAAACAAATGACTACTTAGCCCTTGACTAAAAGCCCTGGTTACGCAGCTAAAACCTCTAGGAAAGAGTCAAGCCTAGAAATAAGCACAAAAAAGCAGGAGAGAAAGGAGCGAAAACGAGGGGTAGAGTCGGCATAACAAGCCTCAAGAGCAACCTGCCAAGCCTGAAGGAACACCTAACAAACGAAGGGTCACAAGTGCATGAACCGTTCGCGAGAAAAGACGTGAAAATCGTATGAAGTTGTACGAAAATCTCGTGGCGCAAGAGATTGTCGGAAATGATTTACCGTAAGCTCGGTAGCATTAGAGTCAGAGGATCCATGAAAAATCGGCTGATCAGTAAGTGGCTGCCAGCGGTGAAACGCGTGTTAAGAAAGTGAGACGCGCGAATAACTTCAGCTGCCTCTTGCAGGGATCACACTGCACACCCAAGTGGGAAGATTCAGCAAACTTCAGCAGGCCACACTTGGATTCATAGTTCCGGTGAAGGAACGTAAATTTCAGTGGTTGTCAGTGATGCAGGATCGCTTGACTGGCTAGTTAATGCAAACGGCAAGAGTGATGGGTCCGCCCAATTGCAAGCGCTTCAACAATGCAAGAAACGCGGCAGAATGATAAACCGCAGCAAGGGCTGGAAATTGTTCTACAAGGGGGCAGGAGGAATTGGGCGTTGATCACTGCAGGTACACACAAGGGCGTCTCCCAGTGCTTCAGCAAATCGTCTTCGTTGAACCCCTAGGCAAGGGGTGACTCACACTTATAGAAATGCGTACTGACTCGAACGCCGCTCGCCACATGGCAACCTAAGTTTAAAAAACCTGAGTAAACCAAGGCAAAAAAGTTGGAGGTCATCGCTATAAGGTTGGAGCAGCTCGCAGCGAGCGTAGGAGGCTTACGCCAAAGTTATTTGCCAAGACTTGCTGAATTATTGAGTACAAGTAGGCAGCTTTCGAGCAAGTCATTAGGTGGCCGGAGCGGTCTGAGCAGCCAGCCATTTTGGCACGGCACAAGGTGACCATACCGGTCA